GGGGGGGGGGGGGGGCCAGGGGGGGGGGGGAGGGGGGGGGTTCGCGGGGGGGCACCTCGGGTTCATCCGAGAGTCCAGGAACAAGAAGACGGTGTTCTTTCACTTCTTTTTCAAGTTCCTGGCCCTGTTCTTCTACGTCATGGGCAACTTCAAGTTCGTTTCCTCCAGCTCGGTTATGACGTACATCATCTGCATCCTCATGCTGGCATTTGACTTCTGGACGGTCAAGAACGTCTCCGGCCGGCTAATGGTGTGTGTTGTGTCCTGCCTGTTTCTGTGCCTCCGTGGGTCTTTTTGTCTTCTTCCGTGCGTGTATCTCTGTGTGTGTTTCTTCCTTCATTGGCTTCTACGAGTTCGTGAACGAATGGACCAATGAAAACTCGCCGTTCTTAGCGCCCGGGGGGGGTGGGGGGGGGATGGGTGGGAATCGAAACGAGTCGAGTGGAGTCTAATGCTGTGCAGGTGAGCTTCATGTTTTGATTTGTTCGCAATGCCCGAGCTGATCAGCTGACAGGTCATCCGTCTCGGTGCTGCTATCGAAACCTCTGTTGCATGTCCTTAAAAGCGTTTTCTTTCCAACGTTTGCTGGAACCACCTGAGCATGACGCCCACCTACCCACGACGTTTCCGCTCGCTTTCTTTTTTCCCGGTTGCCGCGCCTTGAGCCGCTGCTTGTGGCATGGCCGCGTCGTACAACGAATGAATGGGTGTGATGTTGTTCTCATTGCTTTATGCTTGGTTTCCCTCTCCCAGCGCCTCGCCCTCCCTGTCGCCACAGTGAACCAAAACGTCGCGCATCTGCATACCGTGTGCATGCATTTTCTTTCTGCCCCCGTGAAATGGCCGTGGGGTTTCCCCCACCTTTGGCGGCGGAATATTTCCCTAAGGACAGCGCGACACCCTGCCGCCCATCCGCTGAGCATTTTTCCGCGCGATTTCTGCTGACAACGCTCTTGTTTGCGTACCCAACAAAACCCACCAACGTGTCGCCGCCGCTCTTTCGGTTCCTGACCACGTTCTCGGAACAAAAAATCAAAACAACCACAACACGATTACAACAACTATTTAGGTGGGGCTCCGGTGGTGGAGCAACGTCAAGGAGGACGGCACGACGGAGTGGGTGTTCGAGTCCCTGGAGGACATGTCGGAGATCAACAGCGCCGACTACAAGCTCTTCTGGATCGGGCTCTACGGCACGCCGGTCTTGTGGGTCTGCCTTCTCGTCACGGGGATCATGCTCCTCAAGTTCCAGTGGCTGGTGATCGTGGTGATCGCGCTGCTCTTGAGCGGGGCGAACATCTACGGGTACACCAAGTGCAACGCAGACGCCAAGGTCAAGGTGAGAATGGCCCTCCCCGGATTGGTAGCGTTGTGATGGCACTCCCCCCTCCCCTGGACCGGTTCCCGTAGATGAAGTAGCGCGATTTCTCCACAACCAAGGGGGTGCGAAAAAGGAGCCCCATAGCTAGGTGGTAGGTCTGTAAGGAGAACTCACGACGAGATATTTCCGAAACCTCCTTTTTTGCTCGGCGGTGGTTGCGAGATTTTCCGAAATCATATTTTTTACGGCGGTGGTTCTCTCTCGGCTGTAAAAGCAGTCCGGCTATGAACTGTCGGTCGATGCGGGGTGCCACAACTCGCACAGATTACGGTAAGCTGGCCGCCTATCCCCCTCTTCACCCACTTACACTCCAACCATTCTCTTTTCGCAACAGATCCCCCTTTTCGTTTGGTACGTGTGTCAGTCTTGGCGAAGTTCCTGCGCCGCCGAACTCTACTTGTTTTGCAAAGTCCTGCTTTGTTCAAGCGCGTTCGAAACGCTTCTCGACGGGGTGTGTTTTGTTGAGAGTGATGCCCTAACACCGTTCGGCCGCTTGTCGTTGGACCGCACACACACGCGAGTTGCGCCGCCCTTCGCCGACCCCCCGGCCGCGCGAAAACAGCAGCGGTCGTGCTGTAGGTAGTTCTGCAACGAACACGTTTTGCGTCACCGCCTCCGTAGTTTTGCAACGAACACGTTTGCGTCACCCCCTCCGTAACCTCCCCCCCCCGCCTCCTTTTTGGTTTTCCAATCCCACGGCCTATGCACCCACACTCACACCAACGCACGAACTCGACAACACGTTGCAGGTGCAGCAGATGGTGAACGATGGCATGATGGCGGGGGCCATGCAGGGGGCGCAAGCAGCACTGGGGAACGTGGGCCTCCGAAATGCTCTCTTCTCCATGTTTGGCGGGGACCAGGCGCAGCAGGGGGGCGGCAGGGGGGGGGCATCCTCCTCCAACAACGGGTCTGGGATGAACAACGTCTAGTTTTCGCTTACTACAGTGTGGGGACCGAAGTTCTCTGCGCTGCAGTTTTCTGCGGCCAAGTCAACGAACCCGGAATGCAGGGCTGAGTAGGGGTGGGGATGGTAACAACAGATTCCGACAGCCTGCTTATCGCTCGTCCGTTGCGGGTGCTGGCTATTATTTACATTATTGCTGTTGTGTTGTACGCCGCTGTACCTGCTGTTGTTTCACTCTTGGTGGCCCGTCGTTGTTTGTAACTTAGTTTGTCGAGAGAAACGATTTTGTGTCACGCAGTTCGCTGATTGGTCAACACACCTGCGGTGGAATTTCAAAAATGCGTTCCGCACAAAACCTTTTCTCTCTTGGGGCACTCGTCTACCAGAGAGAGTAGGCCAAACTTCTCGACCGATCGATCGAGACAGACAGAGAGGGAGGGAGGGAGGGAGGGAGGGAGAGAAGCATCCAGTACTCAGATGATACCCCTCTCTTGCTTTGTTGGCGGTTGTGCATGGGCTTTCCATCCTGAGTGACGTTTTGTTGCCACCGGGAGGCCGTCGGCCGGCCAATGTTTTTTCCTTGTTGTGTGTCCTCGTACTCCTTCGTCTTTCTTTTCGCTCTGGCGTAGCAGTAGTAAGGGCAGCAACGTCATGCTTGTGTGTTACTGCATGTGTGCGGTTTATCGGCGAAACTTCGTAATGTTGGACACGATGGTGGTTCGATCGATGGCCTCAAGACCGCCATCTACAAACGTACGCGGCGCGAATCCGGGTATTTAGTGACAACGCGCAATGACCCTGTCTCTCCATCGAGCATGTGGTTTCCTACGGCAGTATGCCGTCAAATTGGCGGGGAAAACGCCGCATACGTCGTCAACGCCCCCGACGAAAACACTCACGGGCAAGAACAACTGCTACCATCGGGGTAGTAACCAGCACACTGGTGGCCAGAGGGGCAGGTTGGGCACGAACTACAACCTGAGGGGGGGGGGGGTGGGAGGACGAGTTCGACCTTGAACCCATCTTTTCTTCAGGCTTGCAGCCCGCCGTGTTGACTGCAATAACGCCACTATCCAAGATGCGGGATAACTTGCACGCTTTGGGCTGCCACCTCCCTACAACGTCCCCCCCCAGGTTGTAGTTGGTGCCCCAACCTACGCACAACCTGCCTCTGGCCACCCGTGTAGCACAACCAAAAACATCCGAAACACGGTGTGGAGAAAGAAAAAAAGAGGTGTCGTGTGCATACGGCAGCACCAGTTTGGGCAAGCTCCGCGGTTTGTTGTGTCCAGATTTCTGCGTTTGGCCTTGTGTGGTTGTGGTAATTTTAGGCTTAGAGCACGAGTTGGACAAAGGTGGGAGCCGCCGGTCGCTCTCATTAGAGGAGGGCGACAGCTATTACCTTTTCACGCCTTGTGAGACACACGAAAGTCGGGGTGGTGGGTGATACGGTGACGACGCCAGGCCAACCCTGGATACTTGTGAGTGATCAAGGACAACTTTTTTTTAGCGGGAACGCCACGTCGTCTTCGTCAGCCCGTTTTATCGCCAAGAAATGAATGCTTGCTATTCAAAACGTATCGCCAAAAAAAAAGAAGTAAAAACGATCTCGATTCTTTGGCACCTACAGTAAGTAGTTGACTGGGATGTCGTGAGAAATGAAAGCGTATCATCCCATGTCGTATCGCATGCAATTAAAAACCATCTCAATTCTTCGGCACCACGTGACTGGCATGTGTTGTGACGCCCCATTGCGCTCGTGATGACGCGATGTCTTCTTACTCTCTCGCCTGATTCACGAGACACTGTTCGCCTGCCGTAGGCAAGGTTCTGCACGCCGTGGGGAGCACTGCCGCAGGATACCGTACCCCCGAAAGTCCTCACACCGAGAAAAATCCCCCCGAACTAATTCTCATGACCAAAACAGTGACAAGCACCACTACCTGCCACAGCTGGTCTCTGCCCCCGAGGTACACACCGGACATGTTGTGATCAGCGGGGGGGAGACCAGGACTTGATCGGAAATGCACACCTAGGACATGCGTATGTAACACCACACAAAACCGAAAATGGAGAACCGGGCCATCGTTCGCATCAATTACTGCTGTCGCGTTCCACGGCCCCGCCCTGCGACCAAACGTCCCGAAAAGCGCATCGTAGCGTTGACGCTTTAGACGCAAAGTGGTGACACTCCTCTCGCTTCGCCACCCTCCGCCTCCATGTACCCCCCCCCTCGGCCTTGTTTGCCATCGGGGTTTGGGTTTTCGTCGCTTGGTAACGACGTTGTAAAACAAGCCGCCCCCCCCGGTGTCTGTCATCGGGGTTGGGTTTTCGTCGCTTGGCAACGACGTTGTAAAACAAGCCCCCCCCCTCGGTGTTTGCCATATTGGGATTGGGTTTTCGTTGCTTGGCAACGTTGTAAAACAAGCCAATTCACTTCGTGAACTCGGCAACCAGGTTACCGGGGGTTTTTTGCCTCGAGTTTTTTTTGGCGGTAACCATAATGGTGGTCGAGTAGATCATGTTGTGCGGGGTCGAGATCCCTCATTCCGCGCAAAGGGGATGACCGCACCACGTTGTGTTAAATTGGTCAAGCATCCTTAAGGCAGTTACACAGTGCTTACAACTGTCTCTGGAAGTGAAAGCACCAGAAAATAAATTAAGTCATACGCAGCTGTCATCCGTACGCAAGGGAGTAAGCACAAGATGCCGAACACCCTTAGCAGGATGCAGCTCACCCTTCATGCGACTCGCCGAATACCTCAAGGTGCTTCGAGCTTGGTGATGTGAAAGCCTGGTCCGGTGAGAACCCGGCGTGCTCCGTCCCGGCTTTGTAGGGATGCGAGGTCAATGGTCTAACGACTACGGCATGCACGACTATGAGTACGCCCCCCCCCCTCCAAGAATTCGGCAACTGTTGGAACTTTCACGAGCATACGAGTTCGTCACGAGCCTACCCCCACAGGCTGGATGCATGCGGACTACTGGACAAGAGAGTGGGGAGAGTTTCGAAAGGGCCAACCAACAAGTTGGATCACAGAAACCGAACCACATCGCACCACGTGCTTCGCTGATTAGGCGCGCGCCTGGCAGGCAGCACGGGGCCGATCCTCTACACCAAGAAACCCAAATCTGACAGACAAAAAAATCATGACCGATGAATGTAATAACACAAGTCTGGGTACAAGGTGCACCAGAACACAGGAGTCGAAAAAAGGAATCAAACAACGAAGTACTCACTCCAAGGGTGTGGAACTAAACACTACCATCACTACTACAAAAATAACGGGTCCCCAAGCGCCGCCCTCTAGGGCAAGCGCGTGAAAAAGTCAACGTCCCACAGCCAAGGAGTGGCGGGTCAACCAAAGCCCCGCACATTACGGCCATCGCGAAAGCAAGCTCAAGGGGGGGAGCGAAGAACGGAAACAGGTCGAGTTCACGCCTCCAAATACCTCCTCCTCGCGGCCGCTAACGCAGGGGCAAGAAGAGCGCACGGGTGAAAAACTTCCGCCTACCACCGCGTCCCATAACTCCCAGCAAAACCACCTACTAATAAGACACATTGCTCGCAAGAATAGTCGAATGAGTCACTACATGAACCAAAATCCCATTTTCTCTGGGGACAAGAAAAAGCTAAAACAAACAAACAAAAGTGATCGATTACGCGAAGTGGGCCTGGAGCTCCATGATCTCCGTCAGGTTCTGGAGAGTCTTGGTGGAGAGCTTGAGGATGTTGCTGCTGCAGCCCGGGCGGCACGACTCCTGGATCCCCCTGAGGGCCCCGCGGAGCTCCGCCAGCTGCCCGAGGTAGTCGTCCGTCTCGAGCTCGAGAGACATGAGGCGGTTGTCGGCGGTGTCTCCCGCGAACTGCACCGGTCCCGGGTTGCGGTAGAGGTCCTTTCTCTGCTAGGACCAGGGCCGCGTAAAGGGGGGGGGGGGTGCATGCGTTAGCGGGTATGCCTTTGATCATACGTCCTCGGGAGGGGGTTCGGTAAGAGCCGCGTACGCCCGTATGAACGCGGCAAGGAGTGTGTCGTCAGGGATGGATGGCGGAGGGAATGGATGCGAAATACGTAGGGAGGTGCTCATGTTTTGCATGCCTTGAGTAGTTACAATAGACCATTGATCACCCGTCCTTAGGAGGACAGGGAGGGTCGGCGCGTATATGCCTTTATGAACGCAGCAAGCATGTGTATCGCCAGGGATGGATGGCGGAGGGATTGAATACGTGAGAGGATATTTGACTCTGCGTGCGTGTGTTTTGTTTTGCCCGGCGACGAATGATAAGGCTCGAAATCGGCACCGACGAGACGCGCACTGAGGGGCGCGGCAGAGGAGGGGTGACTTCCAGCAAGTGCGTCGGTAAAAAGTGAAAACACAAAATTTCAGAATCGACGATACGACACACAGGCGACAGAATTCAGAATTAGCAGCCTTGAGTACAAAAGAACACGTCACGCGAGTACAAACAAGCAAAGCTAGGTTAAGCCGGAGCACAGCAGACTGTTGCGCCAAAAAAAAAAACAGTCGCAAGAAGGGGAGAGGACGCCGGATGACATACTCTCGCTAGAAAAAAAAAAAACCACACACACACACACTCGAGAACAAGGAGCAACAGCATCAGCAGCAGCACAGAGGAAAACGACAAGCTCACGAAAGCAACAACGTAAACCCCGTCCTGCGCCTAGACGGCAACACTCACGCCAGCCAGCCCAACAACCCCTTGCAGACCCAGAGACACCGCCGCCGTCTGTCGGACTCTTGCCTTTGCCTGCAAGCTTCGTGTTTGGCTTTTTTTTTTTTCTCTCCTCTCACCTGACCATTCGCGAGGACCTTCTGCAGGCTGAGGTAGGCGTCCCCTCGGAGGTTGATGGGGGTCGGGGGAACCCGCGGACGGCATTGTCCGGTGGGGAGTTTCTCCTGGTCATCGGCCCCCAGGAGCGAGGTAAGGGGGACCCCTCCCCCCTTCCAGGGAGAGAGAGAGAGGGGGGGGGGGGGGGGGTAGAGAAAGCACAGGCGACGACTCGTAGTTTTTCGTCAGCGAAAACGAGATACTGATCAAATAGATCGACGCCCGGTACGCGCCATGCAAGACGCGCCCGCGGGGGGGAGGAGTGTCTTTCATTCTTCTTGGCAGCAATCTTGCTCAAAAGACAACAACGGCCGCCGCATCAGCGTCGAGGGGCGTCGAGAGGACGTCACTGCTCTACTCTACTCGCGAATGTATCGGTGTGTGTGTGTTCGTCCCATCTATTCTGGCGCCGGTTTACAGGCTTTTCGGCGTATGTACCATACCTGACGTATCAGTCGGGGTCACACAATACAAGAGGAAGGTCACACAGGAGCTCCTCTTCATGGTTGTTGTAGCGTAGCTAATACTGCAAGGAAACAAGGCAACCGTACTCGTGTAACAACTCACTACAACCCTCATCGCAGTGCCGGGCAACAACAGCCCCCAGAACACCAGCAGGGACCGCGCGGTGATCGTTCACAGCTATTATCTTGTTGGTGAGAGCTCAATAAACCTCCCAAACCCTCGCTCCAAAAGAAAAGTCACAACTCCCTTCCGACAACACGTGATTCAAACATGTATCCCTGCCACTTGCATGGCCCACGATCTTTCGAAGACACCATCCTACAAACAGACGTGGCCGACTCCTAACCCTAACCCTTGAGTTCCCGAACACACACACCTTCCAGCCCTCCACCGGTTCCTTGAGGCCGGTCACGGTAGCGAGGTATCCGCTCATCCTGCGGTGCATGAGGATGGCCACCGCTCCTCCGAGGGTGAACGCGTAGTCGCAGTCAAAGTTGCTACGAGGCATTCGATACCATCGCGTTGCCGCAGACATACAGCAGAATCGCAATCCCGGAAGCAGAGGTCCAACGGAAGGAGGCACGCGAGGACAGGAGGGACAATGACGTCAGCGCGAGAGTGTGCCGCAAAAAAGAAGGTGCTTCTATGAGCGTCGGTGCTGATTCGGTTGTCGCCGCCGCACGCCTTGAAGTGAACCCTTTCTGTCGTCAAGGGAAATTGCTTCATCTTTCATCGATTTTCTTGGGCAATTCGGGCGGACCCGCAGCACGGCCATACAATGGAAAAGACAACCCCGATAGATCATGCCAGGAACAAACACTACAAGGTCGAGGTCAAGCCGTTGCTTCGCTGCTCTCGAGCCTTCCAACTCGGTCATCACACATGACCAAAACCGATGCACGCACGTTACAACGAAAACTTGCCACGCACATGCGTGCAGGGTATACGAAGCAAGCAGCAAAGGCTGAACCCAACCTGGTAAAAAACAAAAACGAGAGCAAAAAAAAGGACAAACAAATAAAAAACATACACGACACTTCGGCAAGCAGGGTAACAGGCGAGGAGGCACGATAGGCTGGCTAACCTGGGGAGGGCGCTCCGAGCCTGGTAGCCGAGGTGGCTGCACACCGCGGAGAAGTTCCCCTTGTAGCTCCCGGCCTCCTTCCTCTTTCGCAGCTCCTCCTCGACGAAACAGACCAGCATCTTCTCGGTCTCGATCTGGGACAGCTGCACGCGGTGGTTGCTCTGTCTCTCCAGGCACAACTGGAAAGAAAACAAAATGGCACGACATCAAGAAGAGCGAGAAAGATGGCGAGAGAATATTTAAAGAGGAACGAGGGGGGGGGGGGGGGGAAATAAA